TGGGGAGGGAGGGGGAGGGGAGGGGAGGATTCCAGCCGGGAATTCCAGCCCAAAATTCCAGCCGGGAATTCCGGAGGGAGATTCCAGCTGGGAATTCCAGCCAGGATCGGGTCCCCCTTTCCGGCTCCGTTCCCCCTTTCCCGGCCACATTCCCACGTTTTTCCCAGCCCATTCCCAGCCCCATTCCCGCGGTGTTTTCCCGGTGCCATTCCCGGCCCATTCCCGGCCCCATTCCCAGCCCATTCCCGGCCCCATTCCCGCGGTGTTTTCCCGGTGCCATTCCCGGTTTTTCCCGGTCCCATTCCCGGCCCCATTCCCGGCCCCATTCCCGCGGTGTTTTCCCACCCCAATCCCAATTTTTCCTGCCTCATTCCCAGCGTTTTCCCGGCTTCATTCCCGCATTTCCCAGTCCCGTTCCCGGCCCCATTCCCAATCCCATTCCCGATCCCATTCCCGGTGTTCCCTGTGCCATTCCCAGTGTTCCTGATCCCATTCCCGGTGTTCCCGGCCCCATTCCCGGTGTTCCCTGTGCCATTCCCGATCCCATTCCTGATCCCATTCCCGGTGTTTCCTGTCCCATTCCCAGTCCCGATCCTGGTCCCAATCCCAGCCCATTCCTGACCCCATTCCTGGGATTTATTCCTGGTGTTCCTGATCCCATTCCCGGTGTTCCCTGTGCCATTCCCGGTGTTCCTGATCCCATTCCCAGTGTTCCCTGTGCCATTCCCGGTGTTCCCGGTGCCATTCCCGGTGTTCCTGATCCCATTCCCGGTGTTTATTCCCGGTTTCCCAGCGGCGGCCCTGCGGCTGAACGTCACCCTGCGGGAGCTGTACCTGGCCGATAACAAACTCTCGATCCCATTCCCGATCCCATTCCCGGTGTTTCTGATCCCATTCCCGGTGTTCCTGATCCCATTCCCGGTGTTTTTCCAGCGGCGGCCCTGCGGCTGAACGTCACCCTGCGGGAGCTGTACCTGGCCGATAACAAACTCTCGATCCCATTCCCGATCCCATTCCCGATCCCATTCCCGGTGTTTCTGATCCCATTCCCGATCCCATTCCCGGTGTTCCCTGTGCCATTCCCGGTGTTCCCGATCCCATTCCCGGTGTTTATTCCCGGTTTTCCCGGTGTTTTTCCAGCGGCGGCCCTGCGGCTGAACGTCACCCTGCGCGAGCTGTACCTGGCCGATAACAAACTCTCGATCCCGTTCCCGATCCCATTCCCGGTGTTCCTGATCCCATTCACCGGTGTTTCCGATCCCATTCCCGGTGTTCCTGATCCCATTCCCGGTGTTTCCGATCCCATTCCCGGTGTTCCTGATCCCATTCCCGGTGTTTCTGATCCCATTCCCGGTGTTTATTCCCGGTGTTTATTCCCGGTTTCCCAGCGGCGGCCCTGCGGCTGAACGTCACCCTGCGGGAGCTGTACCTGGCCGATAACAAACTCTCGATCCCATTCCCGATCCCATTCCCGGTGTTCCCTGTGCCATTCCCGGTGTTCCTGATCCCATTCCCGGTGTTCCCGATCCCATTCCCGGTGTTC